ACTACCACGATTACACTACTACTACTTTACTCTACTCCTACTATATACTACTACTACTTACTATACTACTACACTATTGCTTAAGGACCTAATACTACTACTACTACTACTACTACTACTACTACTACTTACCACTATATGTTACTACTTACTGCTGCTACTACTACTTACTACTACTCTACTACTACGACTACGACTAAATACTACTACTACAGCGACTACTTTTACTGTACTACCCTTATACGGCTACTACTCTACTACTTACTACTAACTACTACGGACCACTACTACTACACTAAGACTTACTATTGTTTACGACTGTTGACAACTGTTTACTAAAACTGTGACTACGTACTACTATTAACTACTACTACTACTACTACTACTAGTTACTACTACTTACTACTATTACTATTACTACTACTACTACGGCTACTACTACTACTACTACTACTACTACTACTACCACTGCAGCTTCTACTACGACTACGACTGCGACTACTCCCATTACTCCTACTACTACTACTACTACTACTACTACGACTACTACTACTACTACTATTACTACTAGTACTACTACTACTACTACTACTCGTTACTACTACTACTACTACTACTACGACGTCGACGACGACGACGACGATTACTACTACTACTACTACTACTACTACTAGTACAAGTACTACTACTACGACGACTACTGCTACTACGACTACTAGTGTTACTAATACGACTACGACCACCACTACTACTACTACTACTACTACTACTACTACTACTACGACTACTACTACTACTACTACGGCTAGAAGTATTACAAGTACTACGACTACTACCACTACTACTACTACTACTACTACTACTACTACTACTACTACTACGACCACTACTACTACTACTATTACTACTACTACTACTACTACTACTACTACTGTCACGACTACGACTACCACCACTACTACTGCTTCCACTCTTACTACTACTACTACTACTACTACTACTACTACTACTACTACTACTACGACTACTAATATCACGACTACTACGGCTATACTACTACTACTACTACGCCACATACTACTACTACTACTACTACGACTTTTCAAAACTACTACTACTACTACTACGACTACTACTACTCGCGCCGACTACTACTGCTGTACGTTACTACCTACCTACTACTATACGACTACTACTACTACTACTACTACGACTACTACTACTACTTACTACTACTACTACCAGACTTACTATACACTACTACAACTACTACAACAATTCTACCACTACTACTACTATCACTAGTACTACGAGTACTACTACGACTACTGCTACTACGACTACTACTACTACTACTACTACTACTACTACTACTACGACTACTACTGCTACTACTACTATTACTACCACTACTACTATTACTAGTACTACTAGTACTGCTACTACTACTGCTACTACGACTGCTACCGCAACTATTGACACCACTACTACTACTACTACTACTACTACTACTACTACTACTACTACTATCTGTACTCTCACTACTACTACGACTACTACTACTACTACTACTACTACTACTACCATTACTACTACTACTACGATTTGTACTACTACTACTACTACTACTACTATTACTACCGCAACTATTGCCACTACTACTACTACTGCTGTTACGACTACTGCTACTACTACTACTACTACTACTACTACGGTTGCGATACTTATCACTGCATTCGCTACCACCGCTATTGCAACTACTACTACTACCACTACTACTACCACCACTACTACTACGGCTAGGACTACTACTATTACTACTACTACTACTACTACTACTACTACTACTACTATTACGACTACTACTACTACTACTACTATTACTACTACTACTACTACTACCACGTACTACTACTACTGCTACTACTACGACTACTACTATTACGACTACAACTGTTATTAGTAGCACCACCACCTCCACTACAACTATCACTACTATCACGATTGCAACTACCACCGCTACTACTACTTCTACTACTACTACCACTACAACTAGTAGTACTACTACTACTACTACTACTACTACTACTACTATCACGACTACTACTTCTACTACTAATACTTCTACTAGCACTACTTCTTCTACTACTACTACTACTACTACTACGACTACTACTACTACTATCACTACTACTACTGCTATTACTACTACTAGTACTACTACTGCTACTACTACCACTACGACTATTACTACGATTATACAAACTCCGACGATTAACAGTACGACTGCTACACTTACTACTACGAATATTACTGCTACTACTACTACCACTATTGCTACTTCTATTACTACCACTACTACTACTCCTGCTACGGCTACCACTACTACTACCAATACTACTACCGACTACTTCTATTACTATTATTACTAGTACTACTACTTTTACTACTACTACTACTACTACTACTACTAGTACTACTACTATTACGTGTACGACTACTATTACTACTACTACTACTACTACTACTACTACCTCTACTACTACTACTACTACTACTACTACTTGCATTACTACTACTACTACTACTACTACTACTACTACTACGACTACTACCACTACTACTACTACTACTACTACTACTACTACATCTGCTACTACTACTCCTACTACTACTGCTACTACTACTACTACTACTGCTGCTGCTACTACTACTACTACTACGTCTACTATTAATTCTACTACAATCACTACTCCTACTACTACACTACTACCACCACCACCACCACCACTACAACTACTATTACTACTACTACTACTACTACTACTACTGCTACTACTACTACTACTACTACTTGAATTACTACTACTATTGGGGCCACTACTACTACTACTTACTACTACTACTACATCTGCTTACTATTAGTACCAACTACTTACTGCTATTACTGTTACTACTATTACTACTACTACTACTACTACTACTATCTATTTTAAAATGTATTACTATCTACTCGTACTACAAGCCACTACTGCTCCTATTACACTACTACCACCACCACCACCACCACCACCCAACAACCAACAACTACTACTCTTACTACTACCTATACTATACTACTATAACGACTTACTATTAAGACTACTACTACTACTACTACTACTACTACTACCTGCTACTACTACCTGCTACTACTACTACTATTACCACTACTACTACTACTACTACTACTACTACTACTACTACTACTACTACTACTACTACTACTACTACTACTTACTACCTACTACCTACTACCTACTACCTACTACCTACTACCTACTACCTACTACCTACTACCTACTACCTACTACCTACTACCTACTACTACTACTACTACTACTACTACTACTACTACCATTGTTATTGTTACGACGGCGACTACAACTACTATTACTACTACTACTACTACTACCACCATTACTACTACTGCTACTACGATTCCTACAAAATCTACTACTACTAGTACTACGACCACTTCCACGACTACTACGATTACTACTACGACTACTACTACTACTACTACTACTACTACTACTACTACTACTACTACGACGACGAGCAATACTCTTACTGCTACTACTACTACTACTACTACTACTACTACTACTACGACGACGACGACGACGACGACGACTACGACTACCACTATTACTATTACTACGACTTCGACTACGGCTACTTCTACTGCTACTACTACTACTACTACTACTACTACTACTACTAGTACGGCGACTACTACTTCGACTACCACTACCACTACTACTACTACTACTACTACTACTACTACTACTACTACTACTACTACTACTACTACTACTACTACTACTACTACTACTACTACTACTACTACTACTACTACTACTACTACTAGTACTAATACTACTACTACTACTACTACTACTACTACTGTATACTAACACGAATATCATTCAGACGACTACTATAATAACTTGTTATTCCTTCTACCGCTACTACTTACCACTACCACTACTACTAATACTACACTACTACTACTAATAACTACTCCTTCGAATAATTCTACTACTTACTTCTACTACTAGTCTACTACTATTCAACTAATACTACTACTACGTACCACTACTACTACTACTACTACTACTACTACTACGACTTTACTATACTACTATTCTACTACTACTACTACTACTACTACTACTATTACTACTACTACTACTACTACTACTACTACTACTACTACTATTTCTACGATTATTACTACTACTACGACTACTACTACTACTCCTACTACTACTACTACTACTACTACTACTACTACTACTACTACTACTACTACTACTACTACTACTACTACTACTACTACTACTACTACTACTACTACTACTACTACCACTACCACTACCACTACCACTACTACTACTACTACTACTACTACTACTACTACTACTACTACTACTACTACTACTACTACTACTACTACTACAAAACACCTATGTCATATGGACTCGATCGCGGGTCTGTCGATTATCACCTTCGACTCCAGACCCACTGACGGCCTGCAGTAGGGCAAGATTCTTGCAGCAATAGAGAGGGAGAGTAACAGAGAGAGAGAGAGAGAGACATCCACACACAGAGGCAAGGAGGCAGGGAGGGACGGCGTCTCCCCTTGGAGGGCCGTCGTGGGTGGCCACCCTCCCCGTGGCGCCCGGGCGCCAGGCCACCCGCAAGTCGGGCAGCCCGCGCATTGGCCCCCGGCTGCGGGGAGAGCCACACGCAGGCGGACGGTCGGGGTGCGCGCGGCCCGCTCGGGCGCGTGACCGCCGTGAGAGCTGCGAGGGAAGCAAAGAAGGGGCGGCAGGCAGGGAGGGAAGGCGGGCAGGGAGGGAGGAGGGGCGCTCGGGGGGGCAGGCAGGGAGGGAGGGAAGGCAGGGAGGGCGAGCGCCTTCAAAATCGGGCCCCCGCCCGCGCGGCAGGACGAGGCGCTGGCAGTGCAGTACCTCAGGCGCGACGCATGCTCTTGCTGCGCCAGCCAGCAAACGGGAGACCCAGACATACAGCGTCTTTGAAGAAACAGGACGGATCTTTTCACCCGCTTTCGGCTTCCAGGTGCCCTCGCCGAGCCCAGGGATCGTCAAACAACATCAGGATGAAGATCCGGCCCTGGGGAAAGGGTCAGGACTTCTGGACACAGCGCCATTTCTAAAGCACAAAATCTCTGGGGATATTGGGAGGTCTTCCTTGGACAGGCATCGGACCAGGGTTTCCTTTCAGTTTCTGGATTTGGCTTTGGCCAAGGGTTCTCGTTTGGCTTGTTTCCTCCTGGCCTCCACTTGCGCAGGGCCGGCGAGTTGTTCCCCAATCATCTTGCGGTGTCAAGTTTTCGTTTCGAAGAGGCAGCGTCCCGCTTCCTCTTCTTCTCCTCTTCTCCTGTCCAAGGCATCGGACCAGGGAGGAGGGAGGAGGGAGGAGGGAAGAGGGAGGAGGAGGAGGAGGAGGAGGAGGAGGAGGAGGAGGAGGAGGAGAAGGATGATGAGGATGAGGATGAGGATGAGGATGAGGATGAGGATGAGGATTAGGAGGAGGATGAGGAGGAGGAGAAAAGGGAGGAGGAGTAGGAGGAGG